CTATACTGTTTTGAACAGTATTATACTGTTTTTCACTAAATTATACTTTTTACTGTTGAACAAAAATAAAGTATACAAAATACTGTTTTCTGCTAGCATCACTAGTATCCATAGATATTTTTAAAAGTAAATGCCCAACACCACATTTAAGTACGCGTTGTAGAGCTATACTGTTTGTTTTTTTTTAATACTGTCTGTTTTCCTTCTCTGACCTCTAATATACTTTATATTTTGAAAGAAAAGTTGGCAACCCTAGTGTGTGTGTATGTGAGAGAGAGTCCTTTTAGCTTGTTTAATAAATCTTTGAAGTACTGAATTGAATTTGAAAATTATTCCACTCTAGAAGTAGAAACTAGAAAGCTACATTCCGAACAAAGTCTATCTTCTAATATTAAGCTTTCTACCTCGTCTCCTATGAGCTACTATAAAACTATTGCGGGTTGCATTAATTCAAGATAGTGAGAAAAATACATAAATCTTATTTACACCATTTATTCTTAATTAAATAACTTAATACTATTACAAATAAATAGGCAATAGCACCTTCAACTCGCACCATCTCAATATTACAAAATTGCATTTCGTGATATTTGTCATAAACCCGCCTGAAGAGGTCCTCCACTTCCAGCAACCGGAGCTGTCTGGCGAAGGGCTTCTCGAGGACGAGGGAGCAGTGCTTGGTGGAGGCACAGAAGCCTACGACGAGTCGTCCTCCGTGTAGAACGATTCATCCATTACATATGCCAATCTATGAAATAGCCACAACTTATAAACCAATCGTGCCCAGTCTTCCCTGTAAAATAAAGATGACATTGAACAAATTAATTACAATTAGTTCATGTTTGAAACACAGATTACAAAAAAAAAACATCTACAAATTAATAGTAAAATCACAAAAAGTTTTTATTATAGTGTTATAAAAATATTATAAACAATACTTACATTAGCTCTTGATATTCGGCTATAATACTAGCCTGACGAGTTGCCAGGGTTGACGTATTCAGAACCACGGTCTTCATCGGCGTGTACGATGGAAAAACTGCAAATAGAAAAAAAAAATAAGTAAAAGAAAATAAAAAAAGCTAAATAAAATTGTATTTACTACTAATAAAAAAACCCTGAATAATTGCACAAAAAGATTAAAAAACAAAAGAAGTATAAATAATTAATTTAATTTTACCAATATTTCTCGCGAAAAAATAGCACGCAAAGTTAAAAACAAAAAATATAATATACAGATAACTTACCCATATTGGTAGTATGGAAGAGCTTCGTAAGCTTCAAGTGGTCTCACTTCGCTGCGGTATTCAGCAGGCACGATGTAGTTTGGGTGGTTAGAAGGCACTGCTGCTACGAATTCGACTACGGCAACGATAACTGCAACTAAAGTGTACACTACAGAGGTTGACTTGCGAATGATGTCCTTTGAAATCAATCTGTCATTTACACCCAAAAATCTTATAACTAAGTAGGTACCCGTGCTAATTACGGTCACCAGGTGAAAACAACACGTGATTCAAAACACCACAAGCGTCAATGTATTAGTGAGTACCCCTTTTGTAATGGGCCACCTTTAACGACCACACTTTCTATTTCATAATAGGATGTAATGTTATCTTTATCCGCTAGCAATACCAAATTTATCCACCCAAATATTTTTACCTTGCTAATCCTTGTTAATAATTTGTTTGACGAGAACACAAATAAGTACAATATAGTTTCAATAAATACCATACCACACGATACATTTAAGTTAAAGCTGTATCAAGTTTGATAAAAATTTGGTATTTTTAAATCGAATTCAAAGTTGATTTTTTTATCGTGGTTTAAACTTTGGCGACTTGTAACTAGCTATCCAATCATTATCTGGATTTCATTTTACTAAATACTATATTCGATATTAATACCAACAAAAAAAATATTCTTCCAAATTTTGACATAAAACCGCTTGAATTTTTTTCTCGATTGTTTTAGTGAAACGTTAGTTATAGGGATAACTCAAGGCATAATACGTTAAATTACATCATTACATAGAATAAAACAAAGTCGCTTTTTCTGTCTGTCGCGATGTCGTGTTGTATGCTTAAATCTTTAAAACTACGCAACCGATTTTCATGCGGTTTTTTTCATCAGATAGAGTGATTTAAGTGGAAGGTTTATGTGTATAATATATTATTATGCATAATATAGTAGACAAACACTGATAATTTTAGAGGTCTAGCGCGCGAGGCGTGTTAAATAAAACTTCAAAATTCTCACTGGTAAGTTTTAACTTTTAGGACATAGGTGTTTTGAAAAGTAACTCCTACGGTGGTAAAATTGGGCCGACGCTGTGTAGGTTTGTTGAAGACACAACAAGAAGAAGACTACTACAAACATCTTTGTAACATTATAAAATGCATGTTTCGAGCTCAGACTTTCGAATATTATGCAATAAATTGTTTATAAGCTGTCGCATAGGAGTCACCTAAAGAATAGGCTGAATCTTTCAGTAGAATACGTACTGAAAATCTGCCATCTAATTCACGTTTAGTTGTATTTATAAATATTTCTTCGCATTTTCAGAATTAGTAAGAGTATGTTTTTTTGATAACTCTTCTAATTCCCAAAACTTTTTTACTAATTGTAAATCTATGCCGACATTTTGAATAAAGTTAGATGGTATTATTTTTCGATTGCAATTTATTCGTAGGTATAAATAGGTCCTGAAATGACCCAACCTAATTTTGAAAAAAAAAAGCGAACGGTCGGGGAGTCGCCTAATAATTTTTCATACTAGGGGGGTCGTGTCATGAAAAAGGTTGAAAAACACTGCACTATAGGGTATATAATGTATAGTCCACGCGGGCGAATACACTATAAAAGCGAAAGGTCATTCATTGACTGAATAACTGACTCACTCACTCATCACGAAATCTTAGAAACTACAACTGCTATGAGTCTCAAATGAGTTCTCATAGGGGTTCCTCTTAGAACGTAGGTGCTCACTAAGACGGAATTATGCAAAATTCAACCCCTAAGGGAGTAAAATGGGGGTTGTATGAAAGTCCTCCGTTTTTGAAATAAGAGACTTGAAATTTAAAATGACGTATACTTTCTAGATGTGAGATGCCGCCTGATGGCCGCTGGGGCAGGAAAGTTCTTGAGTGGCAACCTCGAGCTGGAAGACGTAGCGTGGGCAGGCCTCCCACTAGGTGAACCGATGATCTGGTGAAGGTCGCGGGAGGTGCCTGCATGCGAGCGGCGCAGGACCGGTCTTTGTGGAAATCCTTGGGGGAGGCCTTTGTCCAGCTGCAGTGGACGTATTTCGGCTGAAATAAACGACAAACGAACTCTCTAGATGTTGTGGAGGTGTACTAATAATGTACCTATCCTTAGAAATCAATTAAAGGGCTAATTGAGGGGTTGGAAGTTTATATGAAAGTCCTATGTGTTTGAAGTAAGAGAGTTGAAATTTAAAATGTATGCTTTATAGATGCTAAGAACGGATTTTACGAAACTCCACCTCTACTAAGGGGGTAAGACAAGGTCCATGCGTACGAAGTCGCGGGCGGCCGCTAGTATGAAAGTAAAGTTCATTATTTTAGTGTTCTCGTCAAACTAAAATGTTTCTGGGGTGGTGGCGTAGTGAGGCTGGTCGTTACATTCCCTCTAATATGGTCGAGTGAAGCGATGGCTGGTTCACTCGTCATGTCTGTGAACAGGCGCTGCTTTCGGGGACTGGTCAATCCAAGTTATTCAAATTTATGTATGCGAGTCATTTCTACTAGTATCTTAATATGTAAGTCTAGATATTAGCACGTCACTACCTTGTTTAATATACCACGCAATCTTGTATACCCATTCTTATAAGATACACCATACAAGAATGCATGGTAAANAAGCTTCGCTCCGCGAAGCCCACACTCGGCCTCGTCGGCACGCCCACCGACGATCGCCAAACGGCTAGAGTACCTTCTGTACTCGCCACTCTGCCCGGTGTAGCTGGAAAAGCTCTTAAAGCTACCAGCGCGCGTCCCTTAAAAAAAAGTAAGTACTAAATGTGAAAGTTTATGCGGTTGGATGGATAAATACTTGTTACTCTTTCACGCTAAAACTACTGAATAACATTTATTTTATTGAAACTACAGATGATTGTTTGTCTGCATCATCATGTTACAGATGATTGTAAATCGTTAATTCAGTAATTTAAGCCCTTTCTAGGGCGCTTACTTAACACATTTAATGCCGAATACACGGCGCCGTGGAGCGGTAGGAGGCCACTTCCACGGCACCGTGGAGGAGCGGAGGGCCGAGCACACGGCGCCGTGGATCGCGACCGTATCGTTTCTGGGTACTTCTCATTTACACTCAAATTTGATGGTCACACAGTAATAGTTCATAAACGGTATAAGTTAGAACAATAACTTTGAAATCAGATGATAAAATATCTNGTATTATCTTTGTAAAACCAAAAATCGCATGTCTCTATCCCTATCACAACATTAGCCATGATCGTTTGAAGATGAAATTTAGTTTAGTAATTTAACTACTTAATACGTGTAAATCAGCCTTTAAAGTGAACGTTTGTGCGAATGGATGGATGTTTGTTACTCTTTCACGCAAAAAGTACTGAATATTTTTCGACTATTATTGTTTAAACATCAGAATACCATACAAATTATAATGATATTGATTTAAGGGTCAAATTATAACGATAATATTTCGTCAATTAGTAAGCCGGTGTTTCAGTGACATATTGAATCGGACGAAGCCGCAAGCAAATGCTAGTACCTACCTACATGATTATAAAATGTGCAAGTGTGTGAGTTTCTATGTGTATGAGAGACTTTGTTTACATTGTGTAAAATCTGAACTAGGTACTAAACCAAATCTGAAAATTATTTCACCAGTAGAAACTACTTTGTCCTGAGCAAAAGCTATTTCTTTATATTCTGCTATTAAATTTTTTTAAGGTTATACTTCTATTATAACTAAGGAGACTGAGTAAAATACAGAAATAATATTTACACATCATTTATTCTTAAATAAATAACTTACAAATACAAATAAATAGCACCTTCAACTCGCACCATCTCAATGTTACAAAATTACAATTCGTGATATTTATCATAAGCCCGCCTGAAGAGGTCTTCCATTTCGTCGAGGTAGGGGATGTGCGACCGGAGCTGTCTGGCGAAGGGCTTCTCGAGGACGAGGGAGCAGTGCTTGGTGAAGGCACAGAAGCCTACGACGAGTAATACTCCGAGTAGAACGAGTCCTCCATTAACGATGAGTATCTTGCCAACAGCAGCAACTTTCGAACCAATCGATCCAAGACTTCCCTGTAAAATGAATACAACATTTAAATTAATTTAAATAAAGCAACCAACACTTTCAAAACAAAGATTATAAAAAATCTTAATATACCTACAAATTGTAAAGTCACAAAGTTTTTACTCTACTGTTATAAATATTATAAACAATACTTACAATAGATTTTGATATAAGGCCATAATCCCAGACAGACGAGTCTCCCGGGTTGACGTATTCAGAAACACGGTATTCATCGGCCGGTACGATTGAGTAGCTGTAAATAGAAAAAAAAATAAGTAAAAGCAAAGAAAAAAACAAAACAAAATAAAGTAAAATTTACCAATACAAAAACTACGAAAAATAGCCAAAAAGACATAAAAAAAAACTACCAATATTTCTCGCGAAAAAATAGCACGAAAAGATAAAAATCTAAATAAAAAACTTACTCATATTGGTCGTATGGAAGAGCTTCGTAAGCTTTAAGTGGTCTCACTTCGCTGCGGTGTTCAGCAGGCACGATGTAGGTTGGGTGGTTAGAAGGCACCGCTGCTACGAATCCGACTACGGCAATGATAACTGCAACGGACAATTTATGGGCCATCTAGAGAACAGACACATAATTTTTAAAATCATATAAAACATCATATTTGTAACGGAGTAAAGTGTATGAGGATATTACTGGTCAAATTTAGGAGCATTTATCCAAAAGTTCAATGGTAAATCGGTTAAGAGCAAATAAATAAGTTAGAGTTGAAATAATTTGAACAATAGGTATATTAAATTATGTATAACTATAAACTCTGAAACGATAAATAAATGATTGTAATAATTTTACAAAAGGAGCTAAGTTCTTTGTATCTCCAAATTGTGAGAAAATAGTAAGGACTAACCAAAGTCCACACAAATGTATCAGAGAGCTATTTTTTATTGTTAATCACTGACGAAAGTAAAAAGTAAAGATTCAATCTTACCTTATTGGTCTCGCTTGTTAGGTTGAAGTGTTGAAGTGTACACTACAGGCGCTGACTTGCGAATGGTGTCCTTTGAAACCCATCTGCCCTATTATACTTACCCAAAATGTAATCACTAAGTAGGTACCTGTGCTAATTACGGTCATCAGGTGAAAATAACTCGTGATTCAAAACACCATAAGCATCAATGCATTAGATAATATCCCTTTTGTAATGGGTCACCCTTAATTACCACACTTTCTATTTCATAATAGGATGAATAATGTTATCTATATTCGCCAACAATATTTTTCGTACCAAATATTTTTACCTGACTAATCCTTTGTTTAAAGTACAACACTATCATCTAGGTTTATTGTATGCGTAGATGATTTTGTTTGGAAAGAACACTGAAAATTAACTTTACTTTTATCATCATCAACAGCCCTTTACAATCCACTGCTGGACTATGAGCCTCCTCCATTATAGTGGAGGGTTTTGCCATAATCCCCACGCTTGGCAGGCGGGTTGGAGATCGCAGTTTAAAAGATTGATGTTTTTCAGAGAGCGCTGCTGCCCATTCTCTGTTTGATGTGTAGTCCCTAAGTCGCCTCTTACGACACCCGCGGGAAGAGTAGGGGTTGGTGACAAATGTATTCTACTCTGCCGTCACCACACGGCTTTTATACTTAAGTGCAGTTCGTTCGTTCGTTCGTTTCAGCCGAAAGACGTCCACTGCTGGAAAAGGACTTAAGTGCAGTATTCTTCTTCTTCCTCCGTCCCTCACTGATGAGGATCGCGACCACAGATAGTGTTCCTCCACAGACTGAGGTCTTAAGCCGTGTGAACCGCACGATGAAAACCACATGATGACAAGTTCCCAAAAGTGCAGTATACAAGTTTAAATAAGTAAATACTACATGAGACGTGTGACCATGTAACAAGCAAATAAATACGTTTAAGCCCGTTTAATTAAATGATCTTAATACTGTATCTTGTTTTATGATAAAATAAATACATTTAAAGTGGTTTTTAACAGACTTCTTTAGACAAAGCAGTTTATGCAAAACATCCCATTTCATAAAAGAAAAACCATGTCAAATTCGTTATATTGTATTATGTTTAGGTAGCTGTTTATTTATTGTAATTCCATCATTTATTTCAATAAATTCCTAGTAATCAATTCTACTAACAAGCCTTGGATGCTATTTACTTAGTACTATAAGTATATTAATTAAATTAAAATAAATAAAATGTGTACAAAATTAATGAGATTGTGTATTTTGCCACAAAGCTCCCGTAGCCACTTACCGACTTTAAACTCTTTAAAGTTCCCACACTATGTATCCAAGACCCTATGGTCTTGAATTGAAGACTATAGAATCTAGAAGCTAGGAGTCTAGCTAATGTTTCGATGAAGACTTTGAAGTTCTATGACGTCCATTATCTTTTTAACTTCAAATTAATTTGCATGTCACAGGAGTAAGTGTAGTGCAGGTAGACTTTTTGGCTTTATCAATAAACTCTGTCTCTGTATTATTGCAATCATAGTAGGTATCATGGTACTAAGAAGTGGTCTTTATAAAACTACTAGCTGTGCCCGCGACTTCGTCCGCGTGGAATAATGACTTTAGGCACTTTTAATAATTTAGTCTAATTATTTTACAAATAGCTTTTGCTCGCGACTTCGTCCGTGGAGAAGTCGAAAACGTTCTCATACGATTATTTTTAAATGTTTTAAGTTATTTTTTAAATGTTTGAATACTTTTAAAATATAAAAATCAGGTTAAATAAACATGAAAATATTTTTTTCTTATATTTTATGAATATGCAGCTCGGCCTTTGATCCGGTGAAAGTTACTCGGTGGTATTATTTTTTTACAACGAAATCGAAAACTACACCTACCGCAGTATTATTGGTAAACTTTTTTTTATATTTTCCTACGGGTGCTGGAATCACCAAGCTTCCAGCATGCCCCTGGCCGTGGGAGAAGGAGCATTTCCTTAAAGACTACTCCCACTACCTCAAGGGCCTCAATACAATATATACAATATATACAATAAATACAATAACAAACAAACAAACAAACAAACTCTTCAGCTTTATAATATTAAGTATAGATAAGTATAGATGAGGATAGTTTATAAATCTTAACTCTCTCCTGAAAGCGAAATAATTTGTTGTTTGATTACTGTTACACATATGCGAAAATAATTGTAAATGGTTCATAGTTTCTTAAGCAGTTGTCATTTTTTCTGTTTATTGTTTCATATGTATGTTTTCCAAATAAAATAAAAATGGAGCGAAACTAAGATATCAGAATTGCAATTTACAAAGGAAATGTGGCAATCATCTAAAAACAATCCAAGTACCTACTTCAATATGAACTAAGGAGGAATTTCTGCTACCAGACTAGACTGAAAAGTAGCTTTTCGTAAAATCGAGGCTTACGTACGTACACAACACACCGTCGAGCTTAGCTAAAATTGCAGAATAAACAAGAAATCTGAACGTTTAAACGTTAAGATGTAATGGTACAAATTTTAATAAAGGTATGATCATACTTTAACTGTGGTCCTACTGCGACATCTTAAATTATACTAGTAGTTACAAACTTACAAATACCGATAGCTTATTAAAATTGCGTTTTTATCCAACATTCGAGTAAAAAGATTATAATTCTACTCCCCTTCATTAGATTACGACACAAGTCGACAATGAAGAGGGATAAGCTATAGTTTGCTTAATGCAAATTTCCAGTTTAAAGCACGAGATTAAGTTTAAGTACTTACTTAACTGTCAAAATTGCGATTCCTAAACAACCCAAAGTTGATGTAAAACAAAATAATATGCGTGTGATGTAGAAAATGAGCTTAAACCAGAAACCAAGAGTTAGTGAGCAAAGTTTTTAAACTAAGTTTTCAAAGCAAAATTGCCATTTAAAAGCAATAGTTAGACCGACCGAACAAGTAAAGAAATTATCAGAAACAAATATTTTAATCAAAGCATGGATATTTCTACATTATCAGGTCGAACCAATTCAATCAATTGAAAGAAGCCGCTATAGTAAAACAGATAAAACAATAGATATTGAAATAGCACTTCACGTGTAGGTATAGTTATAAAAGTGAATCAGAATGATAGTAAGTCTAGATAATTTTATTTTAAACAATGTAAAACTTAAAGTTCATAATTAAAATCAAAGTAAAAAAATGTTGATAGAGCTTGACTTAGTGCACTATTATCGAAAATCAACTTAAAGCAAGTTTTCATTGGCAAAATAATTGTACTTTGAAAGAAACTAGAATCTACGCTTATCAAAACGTTAAGAAAATACTTACAAGTTAATTCTACTCTGACAATTTACTATTAGATTCCTAGGATAAATACGTAGTAAACATGAGAAGTTTAATTTATTTTCATGATCAATACTTATACGGAAAATAAGTTTCTTCTACCTACAACAACTGAAAATAATAAATGTTTTGATCTTCAGCTGTTTTTAACAGAGTTCAAAAAAGGAAGAGGTTATAAATGTATGTTCACCGATTACTCCGTCAATTTTATTGTAGACCGATTTTCAAAATTCTTTTTTTGTTCGATAGGGTACTCTTCTAAGGTGGTTCCATTGTCACCAAGTCAGGATCTGATGATGGGATCCTAGGGAAATCGAGGGCAACCCTCAAATTTTATAGGCATGTATCTAATATCGTTTTACATTATTGATTCTAAAGTTATTCAAGTATATGCGTCTGGTAGTCATCATCTAATGTTGATGAGGTGATGATGGAAGGTAAAACTCCTTAATATTTTTTCTTTTTTTCTTTCTTAACGCTTAGGAGTTGGAGAATAATTCTTTAAATATTTTAGGTACTTATTTAAATTACAGTTGTATTACTTCAGGTTTTTTCGGTGAGCTGATGATGAAAGGTCAAACTTCGTAAGTTAGGAGTTACATGATACTTTTTAGTTGCCCATATTTAAAGTAGATTGCCTGTATTTTGTAGGAAAGATTATTTACACTAAAATAGAAAACTATAGTCTCAATCTCATTAAACATAGGTACTGTCCATCTTCAATAAGAATAACAAGGACTAATCAACTAAAAAGCATGAAATAAATTAATTTTAACAAAAAAATTAAAACCGACTCCAAATAAACTGCACTAAAAAGTAGAAAATTTTTGGAGTCGGTTTAAATTTTTTAGTTAATTCAAGAAAGTAAGAACTTTTACGTTTATATCATCTGAAACGATTTACCATCATTTAGTAGAAATAAATAGAGAAAAATAACATAACATAAACTTTCATAAATAACATTTAAAAAGTTGCGTATCATAGCGCACGCGCATACGGTGAGGTAATTGACGTAATCTGTATGCCATTAATTAATCGAAGCGATACAATTAATAATTACTCTGAATTAGCAAATGACCCTAAAATTTGGGTATTTAAACCACCTTCACAGTATGAAGTTCATCATTCGAACATTGAACTAGTTCAATAAACATTCAAAACTTCTTCAAACTTATAAACCTATATCAAAATGTTCAAGGCAGTATTTGTCTGTGTAATCCTCATTGTCGCTACTTCAGCAACGCATTATGAAGACCTAGAATTGAACAATCTGATTGAGTATGGAGAGTCACCTTATGGGGTAAGTTAAATATTTTCTTCAGTTCAGGCATTTGGTCTCTACTGAAGGAGTACGACCCTCTCTGATGTACCAGAGGCCAATGGAGGATTTAGCTTACACCTCACCACACCAGCCAGAAGTCCAAATATTGTAAAAGCCATCATTTGATCGTCAGTTATCAATTATTCTTTTTCGTATTTGGTTTATGGCCAGATCTGGGTCTCTTTTGTAGTTCTTTGGGCTATATCATTTCTTGCACCATATTCTATGCTTCAAACATCATACTAATTTAATATTTTTTTCAGGGCTTCGTTGTGCCGTATCCTTATCAAGATCAATTACAAGAACAAGTGGTGTTAAAACCTCTTTATTCTGAAGTCATCGTGCCTGCAGTGCCAGCGCTTCCAGCCACTGCAGTAGTGTCTGAAGTAGCTGAAGTCGGCTTCTCAAAGCTTGGTCTCATCACAAAAGCGGCATCTGTAAGTATTTCTACCATTTTATTACCACTTTTTACCCCTATTCAACAATGTTATCTACCCTTATCTCTTTGACTAAGGATTAGATTATTTCTTTTGTTTATTTTCCAAGCAAAAGGACTCATTTTCACTTGTTCTATTGTATAGGTTCTTAACATTTATGTATCCCAACTAAACTTATCGATACTTGCAATCATAATTTATGACATTATTTTATTCTCTTTACAGTTCGCACTTGGTTTGGTGAAGACAGCCGTATTCTTCGTCATCGCCAAAGCCCCTGCTCTTATCCTGGGAACGTTGGCTGCCTTCGGAATCTGCAAGTTCACGCCTATCTGCTCCAAGCTCTCCAGCGTGGAGTCTTTGTACGAAGTCCCTATTGAGCTCAGGTCATACGCTACCCCTGAGAGGCTGGCCAAGGCGACCGAGTTCGTCAAGAAGGCGATTAGGAAGTACCGGTCATTGCAAGAGGAACACTGAAGGCGATTGTAGATTAATTTATATCTATAGTTACGAGTATTTAAGACTATTTATTGGATGAAATAAATTATTGAAACGAAACTTTTGATTCTTTTCTTCAACTTAACCTTTACGGTAGCTTTGATAGACAAATACTCCGTTAAGTTATACTCGTCGAGACGAGTGATGAACAATTTACATGCAAAAAGTCTAAAATAAGCATAATTTTGATAAAGGAGAACAACCATTTTGGGCCCAAGTTTGTACAGAGTTGTACATTGGTAGGTTTTTGATATTATATTACGCATACATTAGGGAGTATTTTACGGTAAAAATGATAATTTTAACTGATGTCGTAAGTCGTATACAATAATAAAAACGAATTAATGATTTAATCTAAGATAACGTGAAATGGAACGTTAAAAGTCAATCGATTAAAGACTCAATACACTATACTGTCCCACCAAACTCATTGACAGGGGGGCGCACAGTGGTCGGCTTTGTATGGGAGAGCGGAAATAATTACATTTTTCAGTGTTGTCATGTTTCTTTTCATAATATTGCTTTAAAATGATAAAAAAAATGTTATAAACCAGCGATCCGGTATTGACAGTGGCGCCCCCTGTCAATGTCACGGGTGGGACAATTCAGTGTATTTGATCTTTAAGAAGGTTTGTACTGACAGATGACAAAACTAAAATGATTGAATGAAAATGAATGAAAATAATTCGTTTTGTCATCTGTCATTGCAGCAATGTCACTTGCGAATCACAGATGAGACCACAGATTAGAGAGTATGTCTAAAGGATCTAAAGGATGAGACTGTTGCGAATGCTTGTTGAATTGAATTAAAACGAATTAAAAGAAGAAGAAGAAATAAAACTATCGATTAATAACATTTTATGCTATTTCTAACGGATTCTGCTTGCGATTTGGGTAACTGACGACTTGATTTTGTATAAAAGTAACATTTTTTCTAGTTTTTTCTAATTTAGTTTTCTCGAGAATGACACTAGTTAGCAACCTCAAATAAACACAATAATAAACTAGTTTATGAAGGCATAAAAATGACATAAAATTTGTAGCTGTACAAATAACTTAGTACTGGGCCCAACGCTTCATAGAAAGTGGTTGTTCTCCTTTAATAAATTAATAATGTAACAAAAAATATACACAGACATAGAAATATGTATAGAAAATGTATAAATAAATATTTAAACTAATAATTAATGTGTAACATACTAGTAGAGCTAAATTTGATGATTACTTATCTTAACATAGGTACACAATTTCAATAAAAACAGACACTGTTCTAACGCAGAAGTAAATAATGATAGCTTGTCAAACTACCTTATGGAAATTGGAAATGTAGTAGGATGTTAATAAAATATATTAATTTGCATTTAAAAAGATTAACTGAAAATTAAGTCCTGGTCCTATAAGTAGAGGCAATAAGTTTGATAGGTTTACCACACGACTTGGTTTTTATTTTCTAGGTTCATATCTAATGTGATGTGAGACAGTTGTGTTTCGAATGAAAAGGAGAAGAATGTATGGACCAAAAACCCAGAATCGATTGGGACTTATCTTGGGAATTATACAGGGTGTCCCAAAATTAGCACGTCACACTGACACTGGAGGTAGCTGAGTCTAAGACGCATCGAACAAGCTTAATATGACCACAGAAAAGTTTTATAAGTTTTAAGATATGACCAATTTTATTTATTAATTTCCATAAAAAAGTTACATCAGTTTTGAAATATGACTCAGATTAGTTATTTTAAAAATTCACTTAATATAGGTACTTGTTAGATTCGTCTTAAGCTCATTTACCTCTTGAGTCAGTGTGACGTGCAAATTTTGGGACACCCTGTATGGGTATAAGTAATATTTTACCCCACCGAAAGCTCAATGTTGAAATCAATGGGATATGTCGAAGTTATAGCACAGAATAATAATAAGTACTACGCACAGTGTTTTATTTTGGCTTAGAAGAGGACTTCCCTGTTTTATTAATTCAATCGTTAGATATTACTATTATGTATAAAATTGATGAAGGAACTAGTAGTTGTATTTGTTTAGTTTCGAAGAAATATTCGATTTTGTGATTTTATAAAAAAAAAACTGTTTTAGAAGCATATTTTCTAAAAAAATTACATTAAGTCAGAATTTTGTAAATAAATTTACCCATCACTGTAACGTCTACCTTTATGCAAAAATAAATGGTTATTGCTGCAGTAATTTAGGAATTATTTAATAATTTATGATTTTCAGAAAACATTTTTTTCTCCGTTGTCCTAGAAAATTGGCAGCTATATTTACTTTATATTGATGCATGATATACTTATCTATAATACCTGAAAATATTACTTGCCTATCCCGTGGAAGTTCGATGATACGACTAGAAAAATTTGTCAAAAGTTACTTCTTATTTACCTCTCAGTGTCTTGAGGCAACTTAAAAAAGTACATTCTGTGTTTATATTATTATTTAGGCAGTTAAATACTGCACAGTATTTAGTACACCATTTTCTTTATTTTCTTCCATAATACACAAGAATACGCGTGCGTGAGTCAATGTTCGCTCGTATGTGAGGCCTTGTCGAATAGTTACCTGTAGGTGGGCCATCGTGCGTGTTTTGTTTTCGATGTAAACTCGCGGAGATGAACAGGCCAAGCCAGTGTATTTTAGCACAATACTGAATACTTACATGTATGTAAGTTATTTATTAACAATCTTTCGCTAACATTAAAGATTTCATTTTTTGTTGTTTTGAGAGAAGGATCATCCTTATGTTCATACGAGAAATATTAGTGTTCATCACGAACATAAAATGATAGATACTTATTGAATTTGAAAAAAATACCACATCCCTTAGTTTGCTTGTATCTTTACTGTATAATTTTATTCGAGACACTATTAAGCTTTTGCTGGTGGAACAGGTCCCGGGTTTGAATACTGCCCTTATTTTTCCAAATGTAAAATCAAATTAAAATACCCAATGGCATGTCAGGTTTGCTCTATAGGTACGGGTCCCGTTTACCGTGTAATTCCAGGATTTTTCCTTTATTTTAGTGTATGGTGATGAGGCATAACTTTGTAAATATTTAGACAGAGGACTGTTAGTACGAAACATTTAAAGAATGAATAGGCACTTACAATTACAAGGCAGATAATATTATCAGACTGCATCTCACTCAATTAACATCAAGTGCAATTGCGGTCATATACCTGTCTTGTTCTGCATAAAAAAATCAGGAGGATATAACAAACAATCTAACTAAACTCAACAAAACCTCAAGTCACTGCCTTGGGGGAAGGTGCCCAGAAGGCTAGCCACATTGCCCCGCTGGATGGTTAACATGATCTCTTATTCAGTTTAAGATAAATACCTACCTACCTATTACAGAAATGCTATATCACATTGAGTAGGTATTCCAGAGGTTTAGTTTAGTTAATTAAAATCAATAGTGATGGAGATCAAATGTGTAGTAAAAATATAAGAAAAAAAAAACAAGAAAGACAAAATTTATGACCTCGACATCATAGTTACATTAAAGGTGGTTGGGTGGTCTGTAGTTGGCCGTGGTAGTAGCATCTCATCTCAACTTATTATTATGTAGGTACATTGCCATCAGGTTTATGCATGAGTATCAAAAGAGATTGCCCTTAAGTCTATGTGAACTCGTCTCACTTTGCGTCAGCGTGCGTCTTTACAAAATATGCGAAAATGCATTGGAAATATTCTAGAGATACTACAGAAAAAAATATAAAGAATTATGAACAGGGGTTTTCGAACAATTCCAAGTCAAAGGAGGCGCCTTGAGGTTGTAAAGGCTCGAAGTTAGTGAAACAAAACTCTGTCCTACTAGCACAAGAATCAAGCTATACTTTACTAAAATTTTTCGTGGCACAAGATAAACATAAAATACTAAAAAAGTGTATAATGAATTATAAATTGAAAAATAATTTGTAGCCTATATACATACAATAATTATGGACCGGCAAACGGGCATGCTCCTTTCAGTCTATTCGAGCTTGGGAGCTAGTAAAAATTACACACAAGCTAAATAAAATATTGTAAAAATATAAGGAATTCATGACACATTTTTCATAAATTAACTAATTATGCGAAAGTTGCAATTGTGCTAATGAAATACTTTTAATTCAGGTAATGATTTTAGAAAATTGTCATTAGGATATTCGTTACTTTAATACGTCATATGAATAATACGTCATGCGTATTAGGTAATTGCATAATTATTAACAAATGATCCTTAATGTAAGTTACTTGGGTTTGGTTTAAAAAGCAGAGCAGTGTTCCTACTGGCATCAGTACCTGTCCTGACTTCAGTAGTACAACAAGGTATTATCATAAGTGCAATCACCATCTACAAATAAATCAAGGTAAGCAAAGTCTACTTTGACTATTATAATAATATTACTGGCTCTTTTGAATCGCTCTACTTTAAAAAGTAAAATAATATTTCTACCTTTTCATCTTCAAAAAATTTTGATTGGTTTGAAATGAACCTTTTGTACCATTGAGTTCCAAATATCACCTTTGATATTACCATCATACATTTTCTACTTTATCAGTTATACTGATAGATAAAGAAAATAACATTGATGCAAATGCAATTTGGCGTGCTATCATAATTTTGGAATTCGTTCCGTTTTACTTATCAGCAATTATGTAAAACTCACATGATACAATATTCGATAATCCATTATCAATAATAATGTTTACAAGCTTTTTGGCAGTAATGATTGTATTTCTAATAAAATGTATTTTTTATAGATGATGCACAAATTGGTCGCCCTATGCTTTGTGTTCGGAGTAGTGTTTGCTGGACCTACCCCAAAACTTCCCACAATTGACAATGATGTAAGTATCTCCTTTATTTAAGATACCACGTGTTTGGCTTGAAATACTGTATCTGCTGCTATGATTGTTAAATTATGTGAATACTAATGGTTTTCTTCTATTTGTAGGAACTAGACTATCCTCCCCACGACAATACCAACAGTTCGAATCAGCAGATATCTCGGACTCTCCCTGACGTGCCTGCCTTTTTGATCCTAGACGTCATCAACGCACTAGTCGGAAATAAGTTTGTAAGTGTCATATTTACTTTTAGCTTTAGTATGTTTTGTATTATCCTTTTACTCCCCGATTTCTACTGACCTAATATTTAGTCTTGATCCAAATGGTTCTCATGTGTGTTTATTCCGTTTCCTATTTTAATACTACCATTATTTTAGCCTAGCTCTTTTTCAAATTCGTAAAAATATATCTCATCTTTTACGAATTTGAGTCCCTCATCATCATAATCAGATTTTATGTTCACACCCTAATCATCATCTTTCAGTCCACAGCTCTGAGCGTCGGCGTCTTCGTCATCGAATGGCTGGTCTCCAACGCCATTATCATCGTAGTCGGTGCTGCCGCCGCGCTTGGTTTCTGCAAAATCACTGGCAAATGCAGCCTGAACTATGAGGAGTACGTGCCAGTGTCCCAGCTGAGGAGCTTTGTGACTCCTGAATATTTGGAGACTGCTGAGAACTTCTTCGTCAGTGCGATTGAGAAGTACGCCGAGAAGAAGGGGAAGGCGATACGGAATCGGTCGTCCGCGTACTAGTTTTAAGTTAGTTTAGCTGTACGATTTATTTATTTAATAAATTATTTATTTAAAATTATTTTCTCTTTTTAATTTAGTTGTTGTTGTACCTTATTCGAATCTTTTTGATTTAAAAAAAATTAAAGGTTTTCCATTTAAATTAAATTCTTTTGGTCTTACATTTTCAAGAAACCCAGTCATGAGCTAATAAATACGGTTTAAATATTGTAGGTAACTTACTGAGATAAAATATGGAATCGATTTAAAAATTAGTGAGTTTAGTGACAATATCTTTATTACACTAATATAATTTAAACATTCTAATCTGATTGTTAGGTCAAAGTTCCTTCCTTACCTTTCCTTCTTCAATACTCAACTAAATTAAAACCAAAGATTTTGATTTTAACACACGTAATGTGTATTTGAAATTACAATACGAAAGGATCATTAGGTATGTATACGAATGGATCGGTTTTTTGCGGGACACTGTAAACGGGATGTTTGTGAGAACAGTTATTTCAAAATAGGTTATATGTTAGGTATTTCTACTAAACAGGACTCTGCAAAAAACAGTTCCTGCAAAAAACGGAATGTCTCCGTGGGAACAAGTCTCTATAGGTGTATTTAAGTATAGTTAGGGCTTGTAGAGCTTCTTGGCTCTACATGAGATTTGATAATTTTTAGCATTTTTCATAGTGCGAGCCATTATGCTCACATCTTGCCATCATTTTACATGAAAATGTTTTTGGAATGCTCTTTCTCCATAGTTAAGTTCAATCGCACAGGGAGCCGTAAGTTCGCAAAGTTAATAGTCAATGTAATTATTATTAACTGTAATTTATATGTATAGGACCAGGGCTAAAACGAAGTGTTATTAAAGAAGTTATGATTTGGAATTATTGGTTAGAGTGATGTCAACTACACAGTTAATGTAACGTAAGGTTTTTCTATTATTTTCTGTATGATAAAGAAACCATGAGTTTATTAGTTTACGAAAGGAAAGGTGCACTTAATGCCAAGTAGCAATCTTTGACTCAAACTATCTAAACTTTGAAAACAATTTTGAGTAAATTAAAACAAATAATTTGCATTTTTGTAATATTATTTTGAAACTAGCGGCCGCCCGCGACTTCGTACGCGTGGATCCCGTTTTACCCCCTTCATCTATCTTACGCGGTTTAGATATTTTCATACAAATGTTTTTTTCCGCTAACTCCCGTTCCCGTGGGAATTTTGCAATATGCCAAATTTCAAGCGTCTAATTTAAGCGGTTTAGATTTTTCATACAAAAGGATTTTCCCGCTAATTCCCGTTCCCGTGGGAATTCCTAAGTACCTGACCAGGAGTATGAAGAATAATTGTACCAAGTTTAGTTAAAATCCGTCGAGTTTTTTTTTGTTTCTATAAGGAACATACAGACGGACAGACAGACAGACAGACAGACAAAAATTTTACTGATTGCTATTTTGACATCAGTATCGATCACTAATGACCCCCTGATAGTTATTTTGAAAATATATTTCATGTACAGAATTGACCTACAGATTTATTATAAGTATAGATTAGAAAGTTTAAAAAAAAATTAAAAATTTAAAAATTTATTTTATGAATTTTTATGAATTTTTAAAGTCATATTGTGTAATGTAAATAAATTAAAAAAAATCGACCAAGTGCGAGTCGGACTCGCGCACCGAGGTTTCCGTACAAACCTGTAGGTATATAACTTTGAATTTGTTACATCTTAAAGGTACTATAAACCTGAATATTTGATAAGAATTTAATACTTCTACGCGTTCATGAAGAAAGGAGTAGATAGTAACTTTAAAATGTTTAAAAATATTTAAAAAAAAAATGACTTACTAGATCTCGTTCAAACCAATTTTCGTTGGTACTTTTGATGGTAATGTACCTATATTATTATATTTTTTTTAGTTTTATAATTATCTTATTTTAGAAGTTAGAGACACTCATTTTACCACTTTGGAAGTGAACTGAAACTATTTCGAAAAAAATGATATTAGAAACGTCAATATCATTTTTGAAGACCTGTCCATAGATACTCCACACGTATTTCTTTGATTTTTGTGTTTTAGTTCTAAGTATGGAGACCCCCAAACTGTATTGATTTTTTTCTATTTTTATGTAAAAATCTTAATGCGGTTCACAGAATATACCTACATACTAAGTTTCAACAGTATAGCTCTTATAGTTTCGGAAAAAAGTGGCTGTGACATACGGACGGACAGATAGACAGACATGACGAATCTATATGGGTTCCGTTTTTTGCCATTTGGCTACGGAACCCTAAAAAAAGTAATTGTTCGCATTATTGAATTTACGCAGATTACTGTGTAAATTCAATGAGTACAAAGAAGTGTGATTAGTGGAATAAAAGATATAAAAATATTGTTCTTTAAAATTTATTTTTTGTTCAATAAATAAACATTCCAATTAATATTACATTATGTACAATCTTATAACTAACCTATTCTAAAAACTATCGCAATAAATCGTGTACTGGTCTTCAATAGTGGTCTCCATACTTCAACGCTCCAATACCCACATATTCTGCAGCATACGACAGATTGTCAAATTTTTCGGCGATATAACCAAAACCGCATTTGTCGGTCAACTTGCAGAAGCCAAACACGACTACTGCGCCAACTATGAGCGGGTAGCTGTGCTTGAATAGGAAGAGGGCTACATTCACAGCTAGAGCAGCCGCTGCCTGAAAACAAGAAATAAAAATAAATATCACAGTGCTTCAGAAAAGACAACTATACGAGAGAGAGCTTGTTGAATGGTACTTGTACTTGAGTAATAGAAATACTTAGTTATAAATATCGTAGAAGAAACTGTTAGTATTTTTTTTCAAATAGAAGTATATTTTATCTTATTGGGTTTGACGTCGTGATGACTGATTTCTCTCCCTTACAACTGTTTATACCATTTAGAAATCAAAATAAGTGGTTAGAGATTATAATAAACCATGGAGAATAGAAATCTTATGCCTGTTTTCACCATCAATCCCTAATTTTTAAGTGACCCCTATGGTAACATTTAACAGGAGTTTTGTTTTCATAGGGTCACTTAAAAATTAGGGATTGATGGTGAAAACGCGCATTAGACTATTAATAAATAAGGATACATACCAATTTGTAATCCACGACGGAACACAATGTAGACAGCAAGAACCACGCGGCCTTTAATGACTTCAAAATTATGACTCCAACCGATCTATAATAAAAATAACCATCAATGAAGATTCTCAGAGAGAAAATGATAATACATACATTGGCTAAAATTATTAAGTGTTTACTTACGGAGTTTCCAGTAGAAGTCTGCTCTCTTTTTCAAGTGGGATAATTTCCTGTAAAGAACAAGGTTTTTAGGTAGGTAATGTAATGTAGAAAACTTTGTGAAGTATTTTAGCTTAAAAGAAAGAATTGGTAAAGTTTTTTTTAAGTAATCCAACATGGAATCTTAAAAGCTGTATGCTACTATGATGCTACTCATAATATGCTTATAAAATTAACTTTCTTTGTTAACTTACATTATTAATGTTACTGCTTACTGAAGTAATCCCACGAGCTTTCGCCGAGGCGATCACAGCGAAGATTATGAAGAACCATATCTTCTGGACTGACATTTTCTGGAAAAAAAAACAAAAGATTAAGAATTTGTAATATTAAACAAAGTACGAACAACGACTTTAATATAAAAGAGAGTAAAAGAAAGAATGGAAGATAATCTTACCTTAGGTTATTTTACAAAGTTGCGAGTAAATAAAATAGTAATGTAGATAGTGACTCTAGGGAATATAGAGTGGATTTGATTTACTTTAGTCAAAAAGTTCCCTTAAATACGCAAGTTTTCGTAGGCTCATTGTTAATGATATATAATTTGAATTAATCTAAGTACCTATTTAACAATTAGATTTAAGGACCTCATTAATATACTTTAACATTTATAAATTAATGTCGTTACTCAATATTCGAGATTGTATTAGCATTCATCATTCATATTACGTGAATCATAATGTCTATTATTGTAGATTAAATTATATAAGTAATTAGTTTATGAATTTGAGAGTGTGATAAAATTATTGAATCGAATTCCATTCGGTTAGTGGTCTACCATGCTATTTTAAGGGTTGCTACATACATAGCCCAGCATTAATCGGTACAGCTGGCCGTAAAATACATCGAATATGTAAGTCGAATCGAATATTGTATATGTAGATGAGTGCTCGGAAAAAAGCCAGTGAAACTGAACTGTAATTAATTTATTTAGGTCCGCTTTGTCGTTCAAAAAATACCACCGAACTAACAATTAATACTCAATAGTTTATTGCTTCCATATTGTTTACAAAAGGTGTTATTGGTAAGGTAAGATACAATTATGAACCCTGTCGGGCACTACATTTTAGGAGAGAAAAAAAAATCCAGCCCGCTTACATAATGTGTAATAACCCTAACATAGAAAAAACTATTAATTAAAACTATCAATTAAAAGTTCCATGTTAAAATTATGAATTTTTGCTCCAATATGGATTCATTACAAAGTTTTAAACCTCAAGTTTGACAAGAACAACCTTTATATCAAATCTATCGATTGGTTTTTCAATAAAATACTCAGACCCAGTGTTGTGTGTGCTTGATATTCGTAGTTGAGTAGAAAGAGTAGTAGGTATGTGGCTAGCATTAGTTGTATTCCAAGATAGGCAATAACTAGTTACCTAGTGTTTGATTTACTACTAGGTAAACTAATTATCAAAATTAATTATTATCAAAGCTTATGCCACTTAGGATTTTATCGATAAAAATTAACGAATACTTCTAGTGGTAAAAATACAGAAATTAACAATCTGTAAATCGTAAAGGGTAGCGCCTTTTCTTACATAACTTTTCAATTCCTATCATTGGAGGTCCGAAAATATTTCTCATACAATTTGATACCATAATGATCATTCTTCATAAAAAATTTAAAACCTACATATTTAAAAACATAATCATTGATATTCATAATATCACTAATCATACACTTAGTTTTTACTAATATTTGTTTTCATATATTTTTCTATACTAATGATCGAAACTCATAATCATTCGAATAAATAACTATAATATTCATAAATGTGATGTATCCTAATATTTGTTTTCATAAATTTATTACTCATAAGTGTATTTATCCATATTATTGAAAATCATGATGTCTATATTCGTATTAAATCGTATTTTAACATTAAATTAATTTGAAATGGTCCAAAACAGGCAATATTTTGTGCCACAAAACTAACGTGACAGAAACGAATCGCTGCAAAACCGACTCCACGTAGTCTTGTCTGCCCTACCCCTAGAGTGTAATTTAAAAGCCGGAGGCGCGGAGGGAGGGCAGCCCTCGCCCGCTGTAACGAGGCTCAGGCGCCCGGGTGAGCTGGAGCGGCTGAGGCTGGTCGCCGAGGCGCCGAAGGCGCCGATGGCGATCCAAAAAGCCGAAGCTGCGGAAGCAAGCGTGGGTGCCTGAGCCTCGTTACGCAAGGGCGGAAGGGCTGCACATCCCGCAGCGCCGGAGACGAGGAGATACCAATGCATGCTGCATGCTTGCTTTCATGCTGCATGCTCTGCATGCTTATCTACTCTATTAAATTATATATGATTTTTTTAAAGATACGAGTATGTCTGTTATAAAGTAAATTATTCTGAACAACAACATTATGAGTTGAAGTATGTTCTTAGTAACAACATTATTAATTAAAACAATATGATCAATGAATGTTATGAAGAAAAAAGATCTGAAAATAAAAATTATGTATTTTAAATGGTTCTTGGTAGTAACAGTATTGATAAAAAAATTATGATTACTAACTGTTATGAGCTCCGATGGTAGTAATAAAAATGAAACCCGTTTCGCGTTGTCACGGCATCACGTGTGAACGGCTGAACCGATTTCGATAATTCTTTTTTTTAAATGTTTGTGGAAGTCCAAGGATGGTTCTTACGGAAAAAAATATTAAGAAAATCTCTACGCTAAGGCGGTACGAAGTTCGCCGGGTCAGCTATGTATGAATAAAAAAAGTATGAAAAATAAAATTATGAAGAAAGATTATTATGAACACAAATCGGTAGTAAGACAAAGAATAGGATTTAGAATTTTATGTGAGCCAATATAGAACCATCGTAAAGCGTCGATAAATCGTGTCAAATTGCGTATAGTTTTACTGAAAAATATGTAAATTACACACACACAGTAACAGTAAAAAGAAATTAATTTCGGTCTTCGGATACTATTCTCGTTGTCAATTCATATTAAAATCTACAAGCTTTTGCCCACAGCTTGACCCGCGTGAATTTTGTTACAGATCTACGTAATATCATAAGGATATTTTCGAACCCTGACTACAACCTAATACTGTAAAGTTTTATCAAAATCTACACGAACTATCGTTTTTATACCTCTAATATTAGTAGGATAGTAAGATAATGAAGGCTTTGAGAACAGTGCACAGGTATAATTACAGCTAATTTCTGCGTAGCTTCATGTGATAAGATTTCAGAATCTTATAGAAAACATTTTGTCGCGCACTTAATTTCTTCTTTCATCCTTTAAGTAATTTCCTCTTGTGAAGTCCAATCTAAGGCTGAGCTGCACCACCAAAACCTAACTTTGACCGTAACTATAACGATAACCGGTGGTTTTTGTATGGAGTTTGACAGATTTTTGACGTTTGTCAAAGTTAAAGTAAGATGGTGCAACCCAGCCTTAGTATTAAAAAACCTAACAGACAGCTAGAGTTACGGAGTTTAAAATGATTAATTCAGATAGTTTAGCATTAAGCAAGTATGGGTATTTCTCATGAAGTAATAAGATGAAGTATGTGATTTCATTAAAGTGATCTGTTGGAGATCCAAATGGTCGATAATAATTACAAAGGGTCTCTTTGTACAAAAATATCTGGTAGCTGTGATTTTGTGAAGTCAATGTGCATAAGCAGTAGGTATATTTATGTGCTTCACTTGTAGTATTGCTTAGGAAAGTATTACCTATACTGTTTTGTATTTTGAGTACTCTGGTGAGTCAGAGATACATTTTGTAACAACCACTTCATCTTACTAAGTTATATTTTGTGCTAAAGTGGAGAATTAATCTCTTTCCAATGAGCTATGTACGCATTGTACGCATATATTTACCTTGACGTTATTTAGACGTATCATTGGATGCACATAGTGATGAATGAGTGATTCATTATATGAGTAATAGAATGCAGTGCAGAACATAATCGTACCTATTATGTAGGTAGAACGATCACCCATCCCCTAATATTTTTTTTAATGTTGCCTAATTTAAAGAAAAAATATTGAGTTAAGTAGGAGTGCAAAGTAAAAGTTTTATTAAGATAGGTTTATAAGAATAAAAGAATCAAATATCGTTTAAACGTTTATTTTAATAAATTAAATATGGCTAACACTTGTATTTAACTATGTACATCAGTCGTCAAATAAATTAGTCTTAATCTAAAGGCATAACTGGTCTTTAAAGGCCTCCATACTTCAACGTTCCCAAATCCAAATGGTCAGAAGCATAAGCCAATGAGTCGGTTTTCTCATAGATATAATGTTTGTTACATAGACCAGTCACCTTACAGAATCCGAACATGAGGACTGCCCCTGCAATCAGAGGATAGCAGTTGCTAAAGAGGTAGAGAGCCAGATTCACAGCGAGCGCCAAAGCCGCCTGAAAGAAAAAACAAATTGTAAGCGAAAATTGCATATAATATTTCCAAATATTGCATATTTTATTACCAAATAAGTATTGAATTTATTTCCAAAAATTGCATTCATTTTTAAAAAGCTTATCAAAGATCTTGGTAAGTATTAAATTGCAATGACCGTGTTCGGTGACGACGTTTTATTTTCGAGTCTACAATATTATCACCAAGCAAAGCAACAGATAGAATTATAAGATAAGTGAAGACAAAAGGCATACTAACCAATTTAAAGTCGACCACTGAGCAGAATGTAGTTAGCAAAAACCATACAACTTTGAATGATTTGTAAATTAATTTTCCAATCAATCTGTAAAAGAAAAAGATTCATTAGGTCCTAATTATGAACAAAAAAAAAGATGACGACAAAAATCTATAAAATCAACAAAGATTTTTTTCAGTAAAATTGATTTACTTACGGTACTTCCAGCAAAACTCTGCTTTCTTTTTCAAGTGAGACAATATCCTGTAAACAAACGCAAATTTTATTTAGAATAATGAATACAACATTAATCTAGACTATACAAATAATAATAATTTTAACCATAAAACCAGAAAATAGTCCAGATCCAAAGCACCTAAGAAAAGTTCTACGAGTATAAGGATCGAATCAAAGATAAACATGCTTAACGCAGTTTATCGTACTACTGTGATTCTCATAACATCATAACACCCGAGGGTCACCGCTGCCGCTATTTCTAGCAATTGAATCTCACATTGTTTTTATACAGTTCGCCGACATAACAACAATGTTGGTTAGGGGTTACAGGGACGTTAGAATGTGAACTTACATTATTTTTTGTATCGTTGCCTTCTGCGATAATTCCTCGAGCATTTGCCATGGCGAATACAGCCAAAAGTGCCACGAACACTAGCTTCGACATTGTCTGGAAACAAAAGAATTTGATATAGAATTAGAAAACAACAAAACATTAGATAAAAAAGAAACTGGCACAAAAGAAAGTAAAAGAAATAAAACAAAAGAAAATAGAACCCCTTTTCGAAAAAGAAAAACACCATTACAATGATAGCAAATAAATAAAATTTACCTTGAGGTTGTTTTATCAGATTGCGTGACGTGCTGACACAAGAAAGTATATCGATGTGATTTATTGACGTTAAAATGTTCCTATAAATACTCCTGCCCTTAATAGGTCATCAGTAATGAGAATAATGTAATTTTGATAATTATAAGGTCATACAATTTAGGACATCATCAACATAGATTGTATCACTTATTAATTATTGTCGTTAATCAATAAGCGTCATTGCGTGCTGTAGTTTATGAAATTCGGTTTTTTTTTGTGAATTTGAAGAAATACCATCAAAATGTTGACATGGCCCTAATCTAGGATAAAGTATTGTGGCAGACAGAATAACTATCAAGTTTAGTTATCGGTAGATATCAACTATTTAAGCATTAAAAGATTAATGATGATGAATGATCAGATTAATTTAGGTGCCTTGGTGTTATATCCCAATGTTGGAATGAATGCTGATAATATCACAAATATTTGGCTTACTTTTCATTTTTATCTATAATCTCTTATTATTTTGACCCAGGAGCACTTACTCACGTGGCAGGAGTAAAGAGTGATGTAATACTCGTAAGAATCAATCACACCGAACATATTATTATTATCCTAGAACATCTCTAAGTTGATTTGTTCGGATTTCTACAGTTAATGATGAAAAAATAATTTTGTTTTATTCTAGTCTAGTAACTATTCAATTAAATGCTAATATTAGGTATTCAGCCTTTTTTGCCATTTCTATTCGTGCTGATTTGTAGGTACTGTTATCATCTAGATAGTTTAGTAGAGGATGCATCGTTTCTCAAGAGATGAATTTGTTGTGTTTATTCGGTGAAGTCACTGCATGTCGTGTCATTGAGCTGTGCGCATGAGTCATGACTCGTCTTCCTATATTAATCCTTGTTGTTGGCTGGCACATAAAGGTCTAACTTCACAACGAATTCTATATTTAGAATATCCTCCAATTTGCCTCCATGGTGTACGAGCATGGCTGTTATCAATGACGTCATTGTATAATGCTGTCGCAATTAGTTATGGAATCTGGGCGTGTTATTAATTACCACTTTGCAAAAAAGAGGGTATGTTTATTGAGCATATGACAGATCATTGTCACTGTCATAAGAAAGTACATTTTATTTAAAAAAAAATAAGTAGGTAACTTATAGTTACTTACTAGTACGTTAAATCTTTATTATACTTTCTTGAATATTCTATTTGTACAGATGTTATGTTAAATCGTAAATGTACTTCAAAATGATGTCATAGAGTGTGGCTTTTTCACTCTTATACTATTTCTCGAAATGTTTTTATTTTAGTCTTCATTGTAGTATTTCAAGAAAAAGTACCTAACCGGTTCATATTCATCAAAAAACAAAGTAAGTAGTCATACAAAGAAACTCAATGACAAGACCGATTCATTCTACAATGTTTAATTAGAATAGACCGACGTTTAAAATATTTGCAACATCTTCGCATTTTGTTATCACTCCATTTGCGTCGCCAATTCGCTATACGCTCATGCGGTCCGCAATGTATGACGAACTTCCATCCGGTCAATGTAACGAACATTCCACAGCACATCAGGCTTTACATATTTTGTTGCGAAATCGTTCTTATTACCAATAAATAAAATCCCTCAGTGTTCAGCTTTATGTGCCATCGTCCTTACGTACGGGCAAATGTGTCATTGCCGCCTTATCATATAGGTGACTGCATTTATATGTTTTGACTAACAATCTTGACGCCAGTTGTTGATTCGCTTTCACTTTGCCCGCCGCTCCGTTATCACGTTTATCAAACGTTGTACTTTAATTATAATCCGCTATCTGCTGGATTATCCCGTGGATTGGAACAGTTTTATGTGAAGTTGGTTGAAGATGGGCAACTCCAAGAGCAAAAAGATGAAGATCAGCCAGAGCGAAGGCCAGGATAATGTGGAGGATCGAGGCACGATAAATTCCTTGAAGACTGATATTGCTGAAACACCGATTAAGAAAGAAGAAGAAAATGTAACAGAACAAAAGGACAAAGACAATGACAATGCAAGCAGTGCATCTACTGTGGAAGTGCTAGACGATAAGTGAATCATTGTGCTCGTCGTTATAATTGTATCCTTAGTTCTGATAGAGGTTAATATTTAAAACGTGTACCAAAATAGTCTTAAGATTATGTTAATACGTAAGTACCAGTTATGTTCATGTCGAAATTGAGAAGTAGAGAGGGGAATAAGTGTGAATCTTTAAGATGTGATTTGTGATTCGTCTCAATAAATTATTTTGTATTCGTGTTTTTATTGATTTGTATTATTCTTCTGCTTTTAAATTCCATTTAAGTCGCAATAAATTAGTATTGAACAGGAAATATTGATCGATCCTAACCAAAAACAACGTTTAATTTCCTCGTTGGTTTCCTATATGGTCTCTAAATTGAAATAACAGAATCTAGGGTTAGAAATACCAAAATCTAGGGTTATATGTTTTTGTTTGGTAAAATATCTTAACTTCATAAAATGGACGAAGACAGTCATGACCTCAGGACAATTAATCAGTCGCTTTATTTCAATAGTAAATGTGGTGTACATAAACATTCTGTATTAAAATAGGTATGTTATACCTAACGAATCTAGGCTATAAAAATATTCTTTGAATAATGACATACTAAATACATATTCTGTCGTCACGTTCTATGACTGTACGAGTACAATACGAGGTAATGGTCGCTTATTAAATTTACTAATGAGATGATGTTGGTTGAATCATGCAATTACTTGGAATTGCTTGCAATTTGTCGGTTGTTCACTGTACTAATAAACCGATTGGAAATAACAACTTATAGAGTGTTCTCTTTGAACCATAATTATTGTGGACACAATCATTATCAACAGGTCATTCGATCCCCATTGCAGAAAAGCGACCTTCTAGTTCACCAGATGCAAATGGAGGATTTGATCTTTTATGGAAGTATGGTGCCCAGATAGGTTTGGGATTCCTATATAATGTACTTTGTACCCACACCCGTAAAATATAGGTTTAGTCCTTGAAGCAAAGTTATTTAATTCAACTCTTCCAACCGTTACTAGTCAACCACAAAATTGCTGCAAATACGCAGCTAATCAGAGTCAGTTTAATTAAAACTGGTAGTAATATTCGCGATACGCTTTGCTATAGGTACATATAATATGTAGAGGTTATCAGCATCTGATTAATATTGTTTCAACAACCGATTAAGATTTTCTGTATTACCTAGCCTAGCCAGAAGTTAGTAATAAAGCTTATTTTATAAATTGAGCTAGTAAAACTTTAATTTTTGTTAGGATCAGTTCAGTTCATTTTATTAGGATCATTTAATTCATGACCTCGAGGTTAAGGAGTGCGAGCTAAAGTACTCAAAACTTCCGTAATCTGTTTTGTACCTATGTTCTTGTGCTGCAAGAAGCTGTTGAATAAGAAGGAGCCATTCAAAATTAAAAGTTGCAAGTGTNACAAGTGTGCCTTATTGCTTAAACTAGAGTGTGCCCCGCGGTGTTACCCGCGGTAAAACGTAGCCAAATGATCCAGAGTGTCAGCTAACTCCATACCAAATTTTATTAAAATCACTCTAGCTTAGACGTGAAGAAGTAAGAAACATACACACTCACAAACTTTCGCCTTTATAATATTAGTGTGATGATCTCAAGAACTAGAGTGGTATTTCTTATTGGTTCATGTGTGACTTCTGTGTGAGGATACTGGAGGGAATTTAACGAAAATCACGTAAACATCATATAGGTTGACCTTGACTGAAACCGTATGTCATGCGATGATAGCATGATACCTACTAAATGCACGTTGTCAACGATGTTTATGGTGACATGCTATTTATAATTCGTAGTTACTGTTAATCAGATGGAAATTTTTATTCGATAAAGTCATAAAGGTTATAAAGCGTTTATTGCTCGGGAACTTTTTGAAAATACTCGTATAGGTATTTATTTATCGATTTTCAAAAAGTATCCGAGCTATAAACGCAATCATAGATAACTTTTGACTAATTGGCCTTGGTAAGGATAGGTGTCCTTAGTTCATGCTAAGATTTCGAATCAACAATCTTATGAAGAGAAATTACTTTAAGCTGAATTTTATTCTAAGATAATAGCTAAGTAACATTAGAATACCTCATACTTATATGAAGCATGCACCAAACAGTTATGTTTACTTATAAAATTGTGTGTAATCTTCTTCAGTCTGAAATTGCGCTAATTTTAAATTGCCGGTGTGCTTCTTGAATGTAAATATTATGGAGGTAGGGAGGTACCTCTATTTCAGTAAAGCTTGATGTCCTGTTAAAGATATGGCAGATCGCTTAGCTAGCACATTAATTATTTGCACTATTAGTAGAAAAAATACCTTTTTAGTTCGTTAAAATCTAAGACAACAGGCAAGTAATGTCTAGTTTCTTGAACTGCACATGAGATCCTGGAAATCGTGGGGTAACCACTGTGGCCACTAGACAATGTGTCATTTCGATTCGATAATAATATTCGATTCGATAAGTTCTATTATACTATATTGTAGTTACCAACTTTTGTGGACTTAGCTATATTATCACGGTCTCTACTTTTTCTAGAGCTTCATTTTGGGGCCAATTAAAGAATTTGTGGATCTTTAAATAGCAATAATTTCAGTTTTGAAGTATTCTACCTTTGGACGCGACCCTGGGAAATATGATTGCGATGTCACAGTGACTTGGAGTTCTAATACGACCCGCCCATCGTTACTATGGCCACCATAACCATAACAGCCCCATAATAATGCGCGTTGTTATAAATCTCATCACTCGCAGTCCTGCCGTGCTTGGTGAAAAACCCGCGAGTTTCAATTGTTAATTTTCCATTGCTAATTGATTTACTAGTTCAAAATCGTTTCGATATTGTTTTGATTGATATAAGTGATTCAGTTCATTCAAACTGGGCCAATGTATGGACAAAACGATCGCCGAGAAAGTTCAAGTTGCTAAGTGAGTCTGAAAATTGAGATGGATGAGACAAAGAAAACTTATTGTGTTATTTAGAGATTTTATTATACTTTAGTTTAAACTCGTATCTCGTACCTATTCTGTAAATTAATTATCATTTAAAGAGGAAAAGTACGTCTGCTAAAATACCTGCATAAAATAATTACTGAAAGTTCATTTGATTTTAAGTTTCTTTGTTCCCTTTGTTGTTTTATTAAATATTGTTTTGTACAAAATAAATTATTGATAATAATAGATTTATTAGTGAATTTGTAATAACTATGAATGATTGATCATTAAATTAAGTGGCAGTGGGCGGGGCATATAGCTCGGAGAGCTGATGGCCGCTGGGGCAGGAAAGTTCTTGAGTGCCGACCACGAGTCGGAAGACGTAGCGTGGGCAGGCCTCCCACTAGGTGGACCGACGATCTGGTGAAGGTCGCGGGAGGTGCCTGGATGCGAGCGGCACAGGACCGGTCTTTGTGGAAATCCTTGGGGGAGGCCTTTGTCCAGCAGTGGACGTCTTTCGGCTGAAACGAACGAACGAACGATCGATCATTAAAATTACTCGTGCGTGAAAAATATACCTTTTAGTAAATTATGTATAAAATACTTAAATACTTCAACACCCGTACCGCGGGTAAGAGACCTGGAGTCCTGAAATACAGGATTATCCTAGTTTAGGCTCCAGTTCACCTAAATAGCGCCAACAAATGTAATAATTAATTTGTAATTAACAAATTGTATTTGTTTTTGGTGAAAAAATTTAAAGTATTTTTATTTATTATTATTTTTTATTGCTATGTTGAGTGCGCGTTTTAACAATACAAACCTGTGTTTACCTTTGACCTCTACTCGCACTTACGAGTAATGTCACAGATTAGTTGGTGATTGACCTTGTTTAATTTATTACAATAAAAGGGCGTGTTGCGGTTATTTTTAACTAACTCCAAAAAGAAAGAAGTTCCGAAATTAGCCGTATGTTTTATTGTTTAGTGAATATTGTTCCCAATGTTATTGTATTTTCTAATAAATTACATTTTGAAAATTACTTTTTACTAGGTACTGATTGGCTATCACCGTATTAATAACTATATACAACTATATACCTACCAGATTATACTTCAGTAAACATGAAGTTTTTCGTCTGTCTCCTGTCGATAGTAGTTCTTATAAGTAATATAGGGTGAGTTCAATATTGATCACTGGTGTGGGTTTTGTGAAATGCATGAAAAACCTAATTAATTTCGCTACATTCACTGTGTGATATTTTAATAGTGGTGTTTAGCGAGATCTGTCTAGCGACGCCGGAGATTAAACGCCTGAACAATATTTTTTAGCAATGTTTACGTAAAGTAGCTTTAGCAGAACATAAGAAGTAGGATTTCGAATAGTCGTGACCTTTAGACGGCCGTGATCCAAAATAGGAGTCAAGGTCGCGCAGGGAGAACTTAGTCCTAAAACTTACAGTGACCATAAATTATGTGGATAAAGAACATAAGTCACGCAAATGGAATCGTATGGGACTTAACTCGTGGAGGGGATTGAAGACATATTCAAACAAATATACTCAACATCAAATAAACCGCACCTTCCGCGACGCGAACTTTAACGATTTTCTTCTGACACAATCATGGTGCCCCAACAATATTGGTGTTATTTGAAAGCCCAATAAATATCCTTAAAGAAAAACACATTTAATTTCTTAATAAATGATTAACATAAAATATACCATAAATGTGACTTGAAAAAATACCTCACTTTGGGCCCACCTATGGGATCAATTACACCAATTTTTATGGTTATAAAACCAAATAATGATCACACGTGTCCTCTTTAACAGATGGATAGCGATTAAAATCCCAATTTAACAGTTTTATAGCCATAAAATTTGGCTTTAGCGTAACTACCAATTTTTTGAAGAAGTGACTCTGGATCCTTCTAAAGACACATTTTTGGGGTAAAAACCTTTTCTTTAATGAAATAAAGGTTAGAACTAGGCTTTTAAATGGTGCCAATATTGGTGGGAAGTGGGGATGCATACGTTTGAAAATGCTTGTCGCGGGAGGTGCGATTTATTAATTTGATGTCGAGTGTATTATCAGAAAATGATCTGCATTATATTTTTAGTGAAACCTTCTAAAAGACTAAACCTGTTTTGTAATAAATTCTTGTTGATGGTATCTGAGGGTGACATTATTAATCATGTCAATAAAAACTGTTTGTAAACAATGGAGATATCGCAAATTGGTAAAATAAACGTGTCTTTAAAAACTAACCCACACTGCCTAGTGTTGAAGTGCACTCTAACCCATCCATTCCATCATCAGCTCAGGATTAAAGATCAATGTCTTCTTCCAGCAACGCTGTGGCCCGGGCGAAGAGCAGCAAGATGCCGACCCAGCCCATCAAGCTGTATTATCTGCCCCCCTCTCCCCCCTGCAGAGCGGTGATAATGACAGCCAGGGCCCTTGGGATAGAGCTGGAACTGTCTGTCACTAACTTGATGGAGGGCGAACATCTATCACCGGAGTACGTCAAGGTGGGTATCAGTAGCTCTTGTAAGTCTAGCTTGTAACCTAGAACTTTCTAATATGCATAAAAATAGTAAATTAATATATGGGTGATGGCTATTGAAGATTACTCATTATGAGTAAATCGATAGATTGTAAGGGTGGGTAGATTTGCTGTGTATAGAACTTCCTTAGGTGATGTGACTGGCATTGAAGATAATTATTTAGTGGAGTAGCTGTTTAAGGCACGTTACAACGGCAGGTGATACCTACTCGTAACATTTAAAATCTGTTATTTTGATTACAGATGAACCCACAACACACTATCCCAACAATGGATGACAGTGGATTTATTTTGTGGGAAAGGTAAGACACGATCCCTTGTTTGATCATAAAAGTGTGTGCAAATATGTAGTATTCAGAAGCGATGTTCACGAGGAAAACTAAGTACCTAACCAGCTATTACTGAGAAATAGTAAATAATATGTTATGCTATCATTTGGTGGCATAATTTACTAAGAAGTTGTGCGCACTGTAAGAAAACTATACTGATACCATCCGATTGATTTTAACTGTCTCTAGTATTTAATTCCTTTCCAGTCGTGCCATCATGACATACTTCGTGAACGCGTACGGGCGCGATGACGCACTCTACCCCAAAAACCCTCGTCTGAGAGCAGTGGTAGACCAGCGGCTCCAGTTCGACCTGTCCACACTCTCCATGAGATACAGCAACCTTTACGTAAGTTCCTTGCATTTGTTAAAAGGTTGTTTAGATTAGTAGTAGTCTGCGGTTCAAGGCCTAAACCCTGCTGGTGGCAAATGTTAATATGTACGATACAATGTCTCTAATTGAAGAACATGGTTACATTGTCTGAAAGCACAAGTCTTCTTTGACAAACTTGCCTGCGGGTAAAATTCATGAGTGATAGTTGGAACATTTTATTTATTACCAAATATGGAGTTAATTAGAGCGGGTGTCGTAAGAGGCGACTTAGGGACTACACATCAAACAGAGAATGGGCAGCAGCGCTCTCTGAAAAACATCAATCTTTTAAACTGCGATCTCCAACCCGCCTGCCTAGCGTGGAGATTATGGCAAAACCCTCCACTATAGTGGAGGAGGCTCATAGTCCAGCAGTGGACTGTAAAGGGCTGTTGGTGATGATGATGATGATGGAGTTAATTATTAAGTAATGAAGATCTGATAAAAAGATCTGGTGAAGGTCGTGGGAGGTGCCTGGATGCGAGCGGCGCAGGACTGGCTTTATGGAAATCCTTGGGGGAGGCCTTTGTCCAGCTGTGGACGTCTATTGGCTGAAACGAACGAACGAACAAAATAATAAACACACTTCCAGGCAGACCTAGCCCGATAAGAATTGTATAACACTAACAAGAACGTGATTCTCTTTGTTATTGAAATGGAGAGCTGATAAATTAAGTCTTAAGTTTATTTGTTTTAAATACTACAATCGATCAACGTGGAAAGCATTAGGGGAGGCCTATGTTCAGCAGTGGACGTCCTATGGCTGAAATGATGATGATGATGATGATGATGAAATGGTACTATTTTGTGTTTTCCAGGGTCCCATGATTTTTAAGGGTGTACCTATGGATGAAGAGAAAGCAATCAAACTGAACGAAGCTATCGATTGGCTGAACACCATGTTGGATGGCAAGGCTTTCGTCGCTGGAGACAACTTGACACTCGCTGATATATCCATGATTGTCACATTCACTAATTTGGAGGTGTGTATTGAACACTAAGGTGTTAAGGATAAATATTTCTTCTGCTCTTGTTTCTGTCACTCGGCTTTAAGCCACTTCATCATCCTAGTATCTATTTCTATTTGATAATCTAATTCGGCTAGCACTAACATCTCGTCAAGTGATTTTTACAATAATTGACATAAAATGATATAAAATCTAACGTGTCTTAGCGTGCGAGAATAGAAATAGTAGGTAACCTCTGAACACAACATGCCATGAACACGACACACCTGGTTAACTCATTTCTTATTATAAAGGCTTATTCGTAGTCAAACATTAGCTGTAAGGAATTATTATAGCCTTAAATAAAATAACCTTTGTGTAATTATATCAGCCAACATCCATTAAGAGGTGGTTTAGTTAGATCATACCCTGAAATAATGTACGAGCGTAAGAAGATGCCTGAAACAAAAGTGCCCTTGTTAAGTAGGTGCTAAAGTCTGTTTTCTGTGCTTACAGGCCTTCGAATACGACTTCAGCAAATACGAGAATGTGGTGAAATGGTTCGGGAACACGAAAAAAGCCCTAGCACCATACGGCTATGAAGAAATAGACGTTGCTGGTGCACAAATGCTGGCTCAGTTCCTGAAGAGCCATGCTAGTTAAGGATATAATTAAAATATGTAATGAATATTCTTTCTGTTAAATCATTTGGTCTAATAAATCGAATTATTATGAATTAAAGTTGTTTATGTTGTATCAAAATTGTGTTCATCATCAGGACATTTAGTCTCCACAGCAGGAGAACGAGCCTCTTTAATTCACCAGAGGCAAATGGAGGATTTGGTCTACACTCCCCACGCTGGCCGGACAGGTTGGGAAGGCAAAATTGCGTTACTTGTAGGACAGCAGTAGAAAATCGGAAGTAAGCAAATTGAAAACAAATTCCTTCATTCTCAGAGCAGGCAGGTCAGACGCGGGAAAAATCCTAAAAGGCTGTTAACGGTAGAACTGTTCAATAGAACTATTAAGAATGAAGGATTCGGATGTAATTACACACTTTCCAATTTACCTGCAATAAAATTCACTGCGATTTGTGCCTGTATGTATCGTATACCTGCCTAATTGAAACGTTAGTCACCTGCTTATTTAAGTTTAAATCCTGGCATAATAACACCTTTAGTTCACAGAAGTTAAACATAAACATTCATTGTTTTTCAAGTCGATGTCAAGTAACGAACACATTTAAATCATTAGTAAATGACTAAGTAGGTGTTAATGAGTGTTAAACTAATGACATACATCCGCAAGTGTTTAGTTACACGATAACTGGTCATTATATTCACTAGAAAGTGATTCTGGGTATCCATCGACTTAAACAGTGATGGTCAAAGACTGACAATGCGATAGGACAGTATTATGCTACAAAAATTAGCCTAATTTATTATTGTTCTTTCCATCTATCTACTCGTACTTCTTCGTCCATGTGGCAATACAACTCGTTGTTATGATCTATAAATCTGAATGTCAAGGAATATCAACCCTCTCAAGTTCAGAATTATTTTTCTTTTTTTTGGAATCTGGTTGATCCAAGCTTGTAAATGCTCGTAACCAAACTGGGAACAATTTAAGTTACTTCCCAGTTTTGTGTCTCATCTGAGAATCAAATCCAAGACCACCAGATTAAAAGGGTTCAACATTAATCGATAATTCGATTTTCAAGGTTATTGTTGTTTCTTGTCTTGTTTTTTTTCTTCTTCTTTCGTGTTGTTTTGTTATTTGTAATATTATTCTTGATTCGTACTGTAACCGAATTATACACACAACCCTGCGTTGCGCGCCCCTTGGAGAGACATCGAACTTTCACTGTTACTATAATTTACGCTTACATTATTTTTAGTTGGTGTCTTCTCCAAGGGATGCGCAATAAGCAAGGGCGTCCGCGGAAGACCAGCTTCGTGACTTGCCCTTTTGAGCATGTCACGATAAATGCTGAGCGGGTGCCTATTGGCACAGTTTTTTATCACCTCTTTGTTTTAATAGTCTACATAATATGTGTTTTTGTTGTATTTTTTTCTGTATTGTGTCTTTTTTTACTGTGTCAATAAACCAATAATTCTATTCTATTCTATTCTTGATCACTGAGGCTTTGAACTAACTGTAGCTGATGACGGTGACCAAAGAAATCAAGACATGGATGACTTGAAGATTATCCCAGTAAGACAAATACAGGTACGTTGTTGTCTTTAGCGATAAGATGGCACAAGCAACATTACCCTTAATAGTTTCGTTCAGTAACACGAGACAAATATGAGTAGATATGGGATTATGACCTGTAATGGTGTTAACGATTGACAAGTGAGCTACGTGAATATAGTAGTAAATCTTTTCATTGCTCATAAGGCATGAATGTAATGGAATTTTCTGAACCGACGATCTGGTGAAGGTTGCGAGAAGCACCTGGATATAGACAGCGCAGGACCGCTCGTTGTGGAAATCTTTATCAGGTGCGATTGTGGTCAAATACCTGCCTTGTTATGCATAAAAAAAATCTTTGGGGGAGAGGCCTTTGTCTATCAGTGAACGTTTAGCTGAAACAAACCAAACAGTTTCTTTATCATAATTTGAACATGTTTTGTAAGAGATGCACTGTTTATTTGGAAAAGTCTTGATCCAGACTGCGTCCAGTACTATTTAAATATTGTGTGCTCGTACTTACTTGTGTTAAACATAATACTTCAAACCTCAAACTTATTTACAGCATGTTCATTGGTGGTTGCGGCTAGTCGTAATCACTTAGGTATTCTATCGACTCATATTGCCTAATGTTGTTAGGCCATAGTGTGTTAAGGTAGAATGACTAAATAGAGTAAATTTCAAATAGATATTTATTTCAAGTAGATAATACATAACTTATTTTATAGGCCATTAATTGTAAGACAATAACGTAATTTCTAATGTCAAATTAGTAGTTAAATGAAAAGATTTTCTGAATCAATTAATATCGTTCGTTTCAGCCAAATGACGTCCACTGNTACGTGAGCTACGTGAATACAGTAGTAAATCTCTTCATTGCTCACAAGGCATAATTAAATGAGATATTGCTCCTATGGTAGGAGTGAAATGGAATTTTCTGAACCGACGATCTGGTGAAGGTCGCGAGAAGCACCTGGATTGACCCCAGGATATAGACAGCGCAGGACCGCTCGCTGTGGAAATTTTTAGGGGAGGCCTTTGTCTATCAGTGGTCGTTCTTTAGCTGATACAAACCAAACAGTTTCTTTTGTTTTGTAAGAGATGCACTGTTTATGTGGAAAAATCTTGATCCAGATTGCGTACAGTACTATTTTTAAATATTGTGTGCTCGTACTTACTTGTGCTAAACATAATACCACAGAATAATAATAAGTTGATAATACTTCAAACCTCAAACTTATTTACAGCATGTTCATTGGTGGTTGCGGCTAGTCGTACCTAATCACTTAGGTATTCTATCGACTCATATTGCCTAATGTTGTTAGGCCATAGTGTGTTAAGGTTGAATTACTAAATAGAGTAAAATATATTTCAAGTAGACAATACATAACTTATTTTATAGGCCATTAATTGTAAGACAATAACGTAATTTCTAATGTCAAATTAGTAGTTAAATGAAAAGATTTTCTGAATCAATTAATATATTACTCTGTAAATAATGTGGCTTGAACATAATACTTTAAAACTTTATTAAGACCATTCATAAAACTCTGGAGTAAATATTTTTACATATTAAAAAAAATAAGAACATTGCTCAGCTAATTAAGATAGAATAGAAGCCAGGATAGATTGATCTACTTTATTACCAAAGATCAATAAGATTAAGGCCGAGTTGCATCACCTTACTTTGACCGTAACTTTAACGGTAACCGGTGATTTTTGATTTTTGACGTTTGTTAAAGTAACATGATGCAACCCAGCCTAAGATTTTCCTGATGGATACCACCTACAGAAGGATATACGAGTATCTATCTACGTAGGTATGCATCCAATAATTTGATTCATCAAAGAGCTAATTGATAACAAAGGGAGATTATAAGGTGCCAGGAGCCACGTCCGGTCGCACGAGAACGTATGGCCATTGAATTGAGTGAGGCATTTCGATGCCACAACAATACGCGTAAGCGCGCGCGACCGCTCGCACCGACCGATACGTTTTCAAAACAAAATACCCATTCGATTGTTGCAATTTGAAAAATCTACCACAAAACGACCAAACAGACGGCAGAATTCACAAACAGTGCAACCGTGGACTCGAAACGTGCAGTGAATGTCGATTTAACAGTGATATTATCAAAGATGTAGTTGATGCTGTGAAGGTGTTCGAATTACGTTTGGATTGCACTTGAATTACGATGCGTGTGTTTGTAGGTATTTTTATTTTAATTAAAAAGTCCGTAAATATAAATTTTATAAGACGAAGATTCGTCTCACAAGACTTTGTTTGTTTAAGGTAAATGTTAATTAATGATAACAGTAACCTCAACCTATGACAGCACAGGTGTAATAAACATTGTATATTTTTTACGTTTCTTTAAATTAACAAAGTTATTTAAATAATTAAATCATCTACATATTAATTGTTTTTTGACACCTTTACGACAATTATTTAAACCATGAGTCACTGTGATAACTATATAAATTGGATCAGGATTCCTGCTTCATCCTTGTTGATCGCCCCTTTCGGAGTAGGTATATTTATAAAGGATTGGCATAACAACTCATTTCATTCGATAGGTAGATGAATTTAATAGTAACTTGACATTCGGCTCTTATGTAAATGGACTCAAGTCTAAATAGCAAGCAAAGTTCACAATAATATTATTCTCATTCATCAGGACCAATTTGTTTACGTTGAGCCCAAGTGAATAATGAGTATATTTAGAACTGACCTAATACACATTCATTCTGCATTCTGCCTTTATCCTATAGGCTAGTATTGTCAGAGGATGCAGCTATTATTTAATGACGCCAAGACTATTGTTAAATTGTGACCTCGTGACACCCGATCTCATGTATCATTCTTTAGTCTTATCAGAAGAGTATCGCGAATTATCAAAGATCTCTGTACAACATCCGGTCGTAAACCCGACTGTTGTAATCTCAGGTGGATAGTTGTACCTGTCACATGCATTGTTCCAGCAATTAACGTTTGTTGCAACGATCGCCGTGGTCACAATGGCCGTCCAGTTTCCAGGGAACCCAAACTCAGAAATGTCAGCAGACGAAAAAAGTTTAAACAGAGAAAACAAAACACTAGAACAGTCTGACGAAAGCGGGCACGAAGTAGAAACAGACCTAGAAGATAAGGACAAAAAGTATTTAGATTACGCAATGAAAACCATTCTAGATCCTAATTCGATAATAATACAAAAGAACGATGAAATTGAAGGTTTCAAAATTAAATTAGAACAAATGGACACAGAAAATATAACGCTAGAAGCTTTCATGGAAGATATGGACAAGCTAAGTTTAGATATTTGCAAAACTTCACAACAAGCGCTATGGTCTTACGTCACTGACATCAATAATGAGGGAAAGAAGAATAGAATGGTTTGTAATCTCTTTTATTATCACAAATAGTCAATCATAGTATTCTGCTTGGTATTCAAAAGTTGTTGTAACTTTTTCCAGGTTCGTATAGCTGCCGAAGAAGACGAAATAAAGAAGCAATATTGGAATATATTGAAGAAGCAATATTTGAATGA